ATTAACTCATTCTCTTCTCCCCATATTCTCCTGTCCTTGCATGGCTAGAATAACCAGTTTCTATTGTGCCCAGCACAGGTTTGATAGGACAATCACACAACTGAAAAAACAAATTAGCATCAGTCTCCAATGGATAATTTTTGAAAAATCATGCTAGAAGTTAACATTTGGTATATAACCAGCAGTCTCTGCGGAAAGTAAAGCTGGGATGAGATGCTCAGTCTTTGGGGTCTTTGTTATGCACAGCAAGATGAGTTTTATTGCAGCAAGCCTACGTAGATATCCTTCAGTCTTGAGAGACTACGGGAATGTGCTCTGAATAGAGGTCTTGGAACAGCATCTAGTGTGGCTGAGAACTTGAGAGTGACAATCCCTTCGACACAGAAAACATATACAATCTGTTCCCTATCCAGCTCCCTGATTTTGCTGGTTTCGGGACTACCTCTTTGCCTCGGCTTGCTGAATGAGTGTCTCTTCAAATTAGGAGAGGCCATGCTGCACCACCTGCCTCCAGGCTGAATGCTCAGATGTCAGAGTTTCCCATCTGTTGAGGTCCATTCCTAAGGCCTTCAGACCCCACTTGCAGATATCCTTGTATTGCAGCTGTGGTCTCCCTCAGGGGCGGTTTCCCTGCACTAATTATCCATACAGGAGATCTTTTAGAATCTAATCATCAGCTAATTGTCATGACATGCCCAAGCCAACGTAGATGTTACTGTTTCAGTAATGTAGACATACTAAGAATTCCAGCTCATTCCAGGACAACACTATTTGGAACTTTGTCCTGCCAGGTGATACCAAAAATGTGTTGGAGACAAGGCATATGGAACATGTTCAACTTCCTCTCCTGCCTTGCACTCCTGCCTTTGTGCAAGGCAGGAGTGCAGTACACTCCTATACTGCAGTGAGTAGTGAGTACTACTCACTGCAGTACAGGAGTGTACTTCAGGACACGGGCTCTTATAGACCTGGATCTTGGTATATGCTGTCAGCTTTTTATTATGCCATACCTTCTTTGTGAGTCTAGAGAACACGGTAGCTGCTTTGCCAATGTGTTTATCCAGCTCAACATCTAGAGAGAGTGTGTCAGAGATCGTTGAGCCAGGTACACGAAATCATGAACAACCTCCAGTTCTTGTGTAGAGATGGTAATAGAGGGAGGTGAACATCAGATCCTTTTGACATCCAAAGTGGAGTAATACAGGGCTGTGTCTTGTGACCTGGCCCATGACTTGTGTTTTCTTCAGGCTGATTGTTAATCCAAAATCTTGACAGGTCTTACTAAAATTATTCATACATTCTTGGATGTCTTCAGCAGAATGGGCAAAAAGAGCAGCAGCATCGGCAAAGAGGTAGTCCCGTATGCATTTCAGCTGGACTTTGGTCTTCACTCTCAATCTAGAGAGATTAAAGAGCTTTCCATCTGATCTAGTCCAGAGATAGACACCTTCTAGTGTGCTTCACCATGAGAGCAAAAAAGATCCCAAACAGAGTTGGTGTGAGGGCACAGCCCTGTATTACTCCGCTTTGGATGTCAAAAGGATCTGATGTTGAGCCATCAAAAACTACAGTGCCCTTAATTTCCTCATGAAAGGTCCTGATAATGTTAAGGAGTTGAGGTGGACATCCAATCTTGGGAAGTATTTTAAAAAGGCCATCCCTGCTAACCAAATCAAAGGCCTTTGTAAGATCTATGAAGGCCACAAAGAGTGACTATTGTCATTACTTGCATTTCTCCTGCAACTGTCTGAGGGAAAATGGTGGATCTATTAGTTCAAAATTCACACTGTGATTCTAGATAGACTCTGTCTGCAAGCACCTGGAGCCTCTTCAGCACAACACAGGCAAGCAGCTTCCCTACAATGCTGGGGGGAGAGATGCCACAGTAGTTATTGCAGTCGCTCCTTCTCCTTTGTTCTTATGCAATGTGATGGTGTTTGCATCCTTCATGTTCTGTGGTACTCCACCTTCCTTCCAGCAAAGACAAAAGATTTTATACAATTCAGTGATGATGGTCTCTTTGCAGCCCGTCAGCACTTCAACAGGGATGTTATCCTTCCCAGGTGCCTTGCCGGAGGCGAGGAAATCCAAGGCCGCTTTTATTTCTGCTAAGGTTGGTTCGCTGTCCAACTCTTTCAAGACTGGCAGGCACTCAATGTTATGTAATATTTCTTCAGTTACTACATTCTCTCTGGAAAATAGCTCAGAGCAGTGCTGCACCCAGTGTTTCATCTGCTGTGCTTGGTCCTGGTTGATCATGCCTGTAGCAGTCTTCAAAGGAGCAAATTTCTTCTGTATTGGACCTAAAGCCTGCTTGATACCATCATACATCCCCTTGATGTTACCTGTGTCCACTGCTATCTGTATCTGAGAGCTGAGCTGAAGCCAATAATCTTTAGAACATCTCCTGGCAGTCTCTTGGACTTTGCTATGAGCAATTCGAAGAACTTGTAAGTTATATTCACTAGGACAGGCTTTGTATGCTGCTAGAGCTTTCCTGTTTTCCTCAATTGTTGTTGTTTAGTCGTTGAGTCATGCCTGACTCTTCGTGACCCCATGGACTAGACCACACCAGGCCCTCCTGCATTCCACTGCCTTCCAGAGTTTGGTCAAATTCGTGTTTGAGTTTGATCAAATTCCTCAATTGCTGGCATCAACTTGGCTGAATAGGGTTCAAACCAGTCTGCTGTCTTTTTGGTCTTCTTTCCAAATGTGGACAAGGCAGGGTTATAAACAGCATTCTTGAAATGTTCCCATCGTTCAGGTGTGTTTGCACCAGCCAGGCCTGGAAGAGTTTCCTCAAGTGCTTGAGCAAATTCCTCCACTTTTCTCTGATCACAAGTCTTGCTGATGTCAGTATGTGGTCTTCCTTCCTTTTTCGTGTGATACAGTCTCTTTATTGCAGCAAGATGAGATGCCTTTAACACTTCTAAAAGCTAACACAACAAACATATTAAACTGTATATTTGGAAATTTGTTTTATTTTTGCTTTGATACTGTGAAGTGATCTGTAGTTTACTATGATAGACTGCTTGATTATCAGTCTGCTAAACCTGCTACTCCAAGACCTACCTAGACTACTCTAGCGATGTCTTCTTATTTAGATGGTCTTAAAGGAGATTAGGCAAATCCATTGCAGGTACAGCTGTCAATAGCTATCAGGATTATTCTATCATGCTCCCAAGAACCAAGAAACCATACTTCTGAATGCCAGTCCTTGAGGATTGCCCTCATGTTCTCCTTATGAAACATCTGGAAATTGAGTCAAGGGGAAAATGGGGCCCAGTGCAGTGTATAGGGAGGGAGCATACTGTGGCGATCGTCCATGTCATGACACTAATATTCATGAGCTAATTTGCATGAACCTATGAGAGGACTGGAGAGGAGTCAGCAGCTGCATGAGGCTTGCCTGGAGAAGGAGGAATCAGATAGGGAGCAGATAGGGAAGAGAGAGAGAGTCAGAGTTGAGAGTCTGGAGTAGAAAGTCTGTGGTAGTTAAAGAGGGTAGCAGAGTTAGGAGTTAAGAATGTGAAACTTATAGATAGCTAAAAGTGTTAAGAGTTAAACAAGTTATCAACAATCAAATGAATACATAAAAGTCTGTGAAGAACCTGTTTAAGCGACCTGTAATCAATAAACCTCTGTTCAACTTTATAATCAGCTTGGACCCTAATCTTTCTAATTAAAGGGTGTTGACAGAGGTCAATTGGTGGCAGCTAGGTAAAGGATGTGTTGGGATGCTCATGTGAGCTCTGTGTTTGGTGAAACAAGCAAGGGCTATGTGGGTTAACGTCACACACATTTTGGGAGAGGTGGGAAATTGAAAAATATATGCTATGTTTATATTCTTATCAAATTTAAACTTATTTCAGTGCTTTAACAACATGAAATGAATCATAAGTCAGCATATAAAATCACACTATTTAGCATATATATGACATTTACAGAGCACCCTTATGCATATTCATTCAGAAGTCTGTTTAACAGAGTTTAATAGTTTTCGTATTAAGCATGGACATTTTTGCAGTGTTAATAGTATAAATTCCTTATTTTTGTGCAAACAAACCTGCAAACATATCCATTACTAGAGAAAGTGCAAACTATGGGATTATATACTACTTGACCATGTGTATTGGACTTTTGGCTATCTAAGAATAAATTTAAAATAACAATAGAAACTACAGATGCTATAGGCAACCCTAAACAAGAATGTTACCTATACAAAATCAGTCACTTGCAGATCCCAAATGAAGATGGAAGTGTACGAGGTGCAGAAATGAGTCTTCGATTTCAACATTTCATATGACCACAGCATGTTTATGTTATGTCCTTTCAAATCTTCTCTAACTGATGGTAGCCTTTTGAATTATCCTTTCATTAACAGTCTTGTTCAGGTCTTGCAGCCTAAGAGCTGTGTTGCATATATTATTATCTTTATCTCTGATAAAGTGACTGAATTAGTGGACCAAGGAAACACGGTGGATATAGTATATTTAGAATTTAGTAAGGCATTTGATAAGGTAGACCACAATCTACTTCTGTGTAAGATAGAACACAGTGGAATAGACAGCGCAACTACCAGATGGATTTGCAGCTGGTTGACCAACTGCACTCAATGTATGATCCTCAATGGAACCACATCTATATGGAGGGAAGCATGCAGTGGGGTCCCTCAAGGTTCTGTCTTGGGCCCAGTGCTCTTCAACATCTTCATAAATGACCTGGATGAGGGGATTGAAGGAGCACTCATCAAATTTGCTGATGACACAAAGCTGGGGGGAATTGCTAATACTTTGGAAGATATACTCAATATTCAGAAGGATCTAGACAGACTTGAACATTAGGCCATATCCAATAAGATGCAGTTCAGTGTTGGGAAAAGTAAGGTCCTGCACTTAGGCAGGAGAAACCAGATGCACAGGTACAGGATAGGCAATCCCTGGCTCGACAATAGTACCTGTGAGAGGAATTTAGGTGTCCTGGTGGACCATCGCCTAAGGATGAGTGAGCAGTGTGCTGCAGCTGCCAAGAAAGCCAACACAGTCCGAGGCTGCATCAACGGGGACAGCATCAAGATCACAGGAAGAGATAGTACCACTCTGTACCATGCCAGCAAGGCTGCACTTGAAGTGCTGTGTCCAGTTCTGGTCACCACAATACAAAAAAGATGCTGAGGCCTTGGAAGGGGTACAGAGAAAAGCAAAAAAGATGATAAGGGGACTGGAGGCGAAATCCTATGAAGAATGACTAAAAAACTATATACGTTTAGCTTAACAAAGAGAAGACTCAGGGGAGATATGATAGCAGTCTTCCAATATATGAAGGCTTGCCACAGGGAAGAGGGCATTGATTTATTCTCCATTGTGGCTGAGGGTAGGACAAGAACCAATGGGTGGAAACTCGTCAGAGTGAGATCCAACATGGAAATAAGTGGAACAGCTTTCCTCCCGATGTTTTGGGTACCCCATTGCTGGAGGTTTTCAAGAAAAGATTGGACAGCCATCTGTCCAGGATGGTATGAGGTTTCCTGCCTTGGGCAGGGCGTTGGACTTGAAGACATCCAAGGTTCCTTCCAACCCTATGATGATTCTATGATTCTATGAATGATCTTATGGTGACAGAGCAGATTAACATTCTATAAGAAAATTCTAGACATGGGGTCAGCACAAACACAACATTTTAACTTTGAAAGTAGACTTCAGTTCAGCACCAACTTTGACAAGGTGTAGGAGACAGTCTGCTCTTGCTCTGTACCAAATTTGGGGAAGTCTGGGCAAAAGATTTTCATGTTATGGTTTTTTAAAGGCAAAACTGCCCTCTCCCCTGTGCAAGCAAGCCTAAATATCCCCAGATTTAAAATGGTTCGTACAAATTGAAAAGACTAATCTTGTTCATCTTGGAAGATAATGGTTGATTCCACCCACTTTTTTTATTTGGAAAGAATCTGGGCTTCACGGGCTGAAATATTGATACTCCAAAAAGGTCTTTCAAAAGGAAAAAACCAGCCGCTTTGTTATAAGACAGAGCATGTATGGAGCAGGTTTACCAGCAATAGCATTCCAAAGCAGATACATTGTTGCCCAGGAAGGGAACTATTTAGAGGGCAATGAAAGGTCACAGAAAAAGTCAGAAGATAGGTTTTCTTTGAAAAGTCAATTTTAAAAGAAGGTTTGCTTTAAAAAAATAATGGAGTGAAAATCTTCAAAAAAGGGACATTTCACTGACAACATATACTGGTCTAAGCACAGAACAGCTTCCTTGGAATCAAATGGAAAGGAGAGATGGACATGGGTGTTATCAGGATACTGGTAGCACTGAACCTCAAAACTCTAGACAACCTCTCTCAGCAGTTTCATGTACATGTTGAATAACATGGAGGATTGGACTGAGACCTGAGGCACATCACAGACCAATGGCCTAGGTGTCAAACATGATTCCCCCAACACCATCTTTTGAGCTCAGTTTTCCAGAAAGGATTGGAACTGTTGTAAAACACTACCTCCAAGACCCATCTCAGAAACATGGTTTAGGATGTCATGGTGAAAGATATCAAAAGTCACTGTGAGATCCAGCAGAACCAACAGGGATACACTCCCCCATTCAGTTCCTGACATAGGTTATCCACCAAGGCAACCACAGCTGTTTCTGTTCCATGACTGGACTGAAATGGATCTAGATTATCCACTTCATCCAAGAATGTTTGGAGTTGAAATGCCACAAAACATTCTTTGACCAAAAATGTAATATTGGAGATTTTCATGTTTACATTAAAGATGGTAAAATGGAAGTGACTCTCTTTTTCATTTTCTTTTATCAAAATCCAAAAGAAGTCTCTAAAACACAAATAATTCAGATTAAAGAAAGAGGGATACACAAATGCTTCAGTTTTTTTCATGTTTCCTTCACTTGACTTTTCTTTCAAACTTTGTCAAATTGTCAGGAGAATTTTTTACCCAATAGTGTCACAGAGGGCTGCTGTCAACAGCCCATCAGAACATGTTGGTGAGAGTGGGAGTTTTAAATCTGTACAAAGACCTGGATTGATTGGAACCCAGTGGAAGGGCTCTTTCTTTGCTTTGATTGTTCCTTGTGGGTGTGCAAGCTCCTGGTGCCTTCCATCTTGGTTTATGCCACCTGCCTGCTTCTCTGCCTCCATTTTGCATACTTTCCTCTCTCTCTCCCTCCCTCCCTCCCTCCCTCTCTGGCTTTCATTTTGTTCATTGGAGGTGTGGGGATAAAAGAAACATTCATGAAAAAAATCCATAGTGAAAGAAATGCAACATGTTTACCTTGCATGAGTAACGCCAGGTCCTCCTGAAAAAAGGGCTGGATAGATTCATCCTGAGGAAGCCATGCCCTTGAGTTGCAAGACCTGAGTAGAGCTGTTTCTTAATAACAGGATCTTTTTGAGGTCCCTAATTAACGAGATTGCCATAAGTCAGAAGCAACTTGGCAGTACATAAGAACAGACGTAACCTGTCTGGATCTATACCAAAATTAACCTGCTGGCAAAGGACAAAATCAAAGTGTTTTATCAAAGTTATTGGAGAAGGGTTGGCCTGAGTATCCCATTGGAACATTATTTTGATTCTCTCTGTTTTTCTGTCTTTCTTCTGGGGCTCCAGTGAAATGAAGCAGAAGCTCGATGAAGAGGGTGACAAGTGCAGCATCCTTTCCAAGCAACATAGCTTTAATGAGCGCTGCTGCATACGTTGTTGCTGCCCTTTTACTTTTCTCATCAATACAAAACGACAATGCCAAGACTGCAAATACAATATCTGCAAGAACTGCAGCTCCTATCAGAGAAAGGAGAAAGCTTGGATCTGCAATGTGTGCCAGCAAGCTAGGTAAGCACTGTGGATTGAAATACTAGGAGTAAATGAAAAAAACGGATGCCTCTTTCAGACCTTTTTTTCCTTATTGAAGTAACTGATGAGACAGGAAAAATCACACACAGAACTCCAGAAAAATGCTGTTCTATTGTGTTATTTATTGTCATTTCATTGGATGATCATACTAATTGTTCAGGGTACCTTGCTTGCTTACTTTAGAAAATATGAGATTTATTATTGTTAATTTTGCTTCCTCTTCTTCCTTCTGCCATGCAAAGGAAGCTTTGACTGCAAATTTGTGGAGTTTTAGGGAAACAAATGTGTATGTACTGGGGAGTGGGAGCTGACATATATGATCAAACAGAAATTGACAGATCATAAAAAGTACAGAAAATAGAGCCAACATTTTCTGCTTGCTGTTTGTTTTTTCAGTGTAATGTGCCTTTGAGTGGTATGTGTCTTAAACCTTGACACATAGCAAAGTTCCATAGAAATTCTAAAATGTACGAAGTAACTGGATCAAAGTGTCATACTCTTTCCCGGTTTTCTAGTGCCACAAAACATTACTTATTTAGTCACAATCTTACAAATATAAAGGACAAGAAAACATACATCCTGTTAAAAAACACTCTTCAGCATTCCTTTCTGATCCTTTAAAAAACCCACTCTGAGTGGAGGCAGTTGTTATGGTTTAGGTTATTGAAACTAAAATGTAATTTCTAAGTGGGATTTGTAGTCATGGAATGATGTAAAATGAATTCATCTTAGTCTGTGTCATTTTACTAGAAGCAGCGAGAAGCTGTTTTCTCTTGCAGCTAGTGAGGAATGTTATCATGTAGATAGCTGGGCCAAGGCCGAAGACAAAGAGCCGAGCCATAACATTGAGGAAGAATGTCAACAACACCATGAGAAAAGGAGGTGGAGAGAGACGAGCAATCCTTCGTCCTGATTGGCTTATGTCAGTGGAGAGTGAAGAAGGAGGTGTTTCCAGCGTGTGAAGAAAATGACAGGATATTACAGGGAGAGAGACTCTTTTTAAGATTCATTTTTTGGATTAATGGATTTTACCATGGATTTTTGATATTTAAATGGACTTTGGAGTTCCCAATGCTAAGATGTAGTCCATAGTAGGAGAATAGAAAGTGGGGATTAGCCTTACCTGCCTTTCTAGCTATTAGAATTTTCTTATTTTAATTTTTGTAGCTGGAATTTGCTAGATTTCTAACTATAGTAGATTATGGAAATGATTTTGAATGCTATGCTTTGCAACAAACTGAATATCTCTAACTCTTTATTTTTCTAATAAAACAATAATATTTAATGACTTGTGCTTGGTCTCTTGAGCAGATAACCTGCTACATTACTTAGTTGGTTTTTCTTGAACGCCACAAATTAAGCTACTTTGAGTCCAGTAATTGCCTGAGTTTTGAGAGCTCTGGATGACTCTAAGACTCATGATTTTAACTTGGTTTTCTCAGTGATTATTAAGTGGGAATAGACTTGGAAAAAGGGTGCCAGTGGGATAGCCTGGTTGAGACAAGGACTCATCTCAACTTAAATAGGGGTCAACTGGACTCTGAACCTCTCTATTCCAGCCTCAGCATTCTCTTAGGATGAGAGAGAGCTTACAGCAGTCATGTTCATCTCACTGTACAACACATACAGAATTATATATTGGCCTTCCCAGAGCACTCTTCCTCAGATGATCTAGACTATAACTCCCATTAGCCCCAGCAAGCATGCCCACTAGACACCGCCCATAGGAATTATAGCTCAAAACAATCTGATGGGCAGCATGTGAGGAAAACCCATATATGCATACTGCAGGCACTCTAGCACTGTGAGATAAAGAGCAGAGCACTCCCTAATGAAAGCAAGAGGAAGGGAGAAAATGTCATTAAAGACTATGGAGTTCATCTTGTTTCTTGATTATGTTTCTTGAAATTAAGCTTCAACTCTAACTCAAAACTGCACAAACACAGGAGAGGAGAAAGTTCTGCACTGTGTAACACTTTTAAAAAGCTGTAAATAAGGTGAGCTTCTGGGTTCACTAGAACTTTTCAGCAGGCAAAAATATGATATAGCATTTGAAAGTAGCAGAGCAAGCTGATGGTCCAAAAAACTAGGCCAGTTGGGGCTAATAGTGTGTATTGTTTTTGAGCACACACTGGTAGCAAAGTAAGATGGTGTTTGCAAATCAAACTTGAATCATTAAGGTATCGTTGTCTCTCTTCTCTGTGTAGACAAACAACGTTATTGGGACCCCTGGAAATCTGTTTGTTGCCTTGACTCTCAGTTTTGCTGTGCCAATCTTTTGGAAAGGACAGACATGGCATAAAAATTTCGTTCTAGTGCTTAAGTCTATTGGCACCTGACCCAAATTAAATCTTTATTTTTGTTCACAAGACAGAAAGAAATAATTCAATTTGATAGGTTGAATATGACAAAGCAAGAACAATACGCTATTAGACGAAAGTGTGGCCTGCCATTTTATAATGTTTGATATATTTATTATTTCTTTTTAGCAAAGGAATAAATATTCCCTTAAAATGAACCAATTCCATAGGCAACTAATGTAACTTACTTTGAAATTGAAAGGTGCTAGAATTTTGACTGAAACTCATGTTTCTATTAAAGCTCACAAACAACATGTTCAGTGAACAATATTGCCTTGTGACATATTGGCTGAAATCCTGTTCATGTGAGTTTCACAATGTAAGGGTGATGATGTCATCAGCCAGGGCAATTGTTTTTGAACTGCTGCCAATTGGTGGCAGCAGTTTTTAGTAATTAAAGATTTTCTCCTCCAATGCCTTGGGTCTCACAGGTTCCTAACAATAAAAGGGATTACTTACCTGCAGAGTTTTTGGGATGGGAGTGGGAAATATTTATTTTTCAAAAAATAACCTTGACTGATGATGTCATCAGCTTTACGCCTTGGAACTTACATTATTTTAAAATGATCTTTGAGGTAATGCAAAAACTACTGACTTGAATTTTTAAAACCTCCTAAAACAATTCTGGGTGATTTATTTGAGGGTGGTTTTTTAGCCATTTTTTGTTTTCATATTTACTTTTGTAACTCAAAGTTAAATATGGCTAAAACGTACCATGCTAACAACCTTTTACTGTCTAATTAATAGGACCAGGCTATGTTAAAGAGTCACTTTAGGAAAGTATTGATTACTGAATAATACATTGCTTAGTTTAAAAAAAAAACATTTCTAAGTTCTGATTCCTACTTTCTCACATGGGAATCATTCCATCTACCTGTGGGTGCACAATGGAATGGTTGAAGCTTTTTATTAGAGAGACCCATGACACTGTGCACATTGGGATAGGCAATGGGGGCTTTACTTTTCTGGTGCTCCCATCAAACCTGCCACTACACCTGTTCTTCCATTCCTGCATTTCTGCTAGAAAACATTGCATGAAATCCCCACATGCAATCTTTTCTAATGGAAATGTAGCTGTTTGTGTCTGCAGCATCTGCAGCAGAGTCACAGTGGGGACACATAAAATTAACTGGGGGGGCGAGTCTCAGGCAGCCCACAGGTTATATGTTGCCCATACAAGCTATATGTGCTCTCAACTGGAAGTGTGATCCTACTGAGAGACAAGGTACACTCTTGTTATATATAATGTTTTCCAGTGGATTTTTTGAGATGGTGTCAGCAATTCATTGAAGGGCCACAAAAATGGCTGGAGGGTGTACAGGTATCCCAGGGGTACATTGTCTATGCACACATTCAAAATTAGTATTTTCCATTGAAGAGTTCTATAAGTATGGCTTGCCCAACAGTGCAATACAGTGAAGCAACCTGCTTCAGCTAGTGATGAGGAAATATTTGAAGGGGAAGGAGGAACAGTTGAAGGCAGGGATCATTGACTGTGTAATACAAGAAGCCTTTAAAAGGCAGCTGCCCCTATCAGGATGGGGGCAGACACTTCTTCAAGCAGCAATTTGTCTTAGGAAGCCACTATGTGTAAGTTCTGCTGAGGAAAGTGTAGATGTGGCCTAAAAATTGCAGGGCCGTCTACTTATTGCTACCAGTGCACATTTGCTGCCTTCATGTGTCACACGAACAGCTAAAAGACAGGATGAGCATGGGACCTTGATTACAATGCACTGGGCTTTTCATCTTCTCATGACCCTCCATGTGGTCGTAGGCAGTCCTAAATGTTTATGGCTGAGCTTCATAAAAGACAAACTCAGTTTGGGGTGATGTGAAAGCAGTTTATTTTATGTGTTTTATCAAAGACAAGCTAAGTGGAACATCATCGTTAAGTACTGTAGATACATTGGATCACACATTGAATCACCTGCTGAATGATGGATCCATATCCAAGTGTTTTAGTAGGTCTCCAGTTAGAGCTATCAGTTGGCTAGTGGCCGAAATCCTTTAAATAAATTGTAAAGACAATGATGGTAACATCAAGGGAGAGCTTGCTGGTGATAAAAAAGTTTCTGTTTGATCTCGCTGATTCACCTGTGATCAGTCTCATTGCAAGCATCTCCAATGACCTCTGGGATTGAATCAGGAGCTCTTTAATAACTTACAACCTCTGCCTGCTGGTGGTGTCATCACTTTTACATAGGTGTAATTAACTCAACGTAATTGTGGCCAATATCTGCAATACAACAAAAACAATAACATGTAGCCTCTTTTAAAAAAAAGTTTTTTCCAGTTAATGGGAGAGACAAGATCAGCCTGTAAAGAATCAAGGAAGGATGATATCTGTAGTTTTCCAGTTCAAACACATAGAATTAATTCTTGGTATTCATATGATTGAAAAGCTTTGGCATATGAACTACTGAGAAAACATTTTAAAATGCATTTTTTAAGTCATTCAGAACATTCTTACTGAAACATCATCTTTCTTCTTCCAAAAGAATCTTCTGTGACTTACTTCGGGGAAAAATCTTGGTTTCGGGATCCTTTGTTCGATTTTTGTGTTTTCTCTTCTGATTTGTTTCAGTCATGTACATTTAAAACAACTACTGTCCTGTTGCACTGCATAAAACAATGTCTGAAATCCTGTTGTGCAGTCATGCAAATGGTGTAATTTTTAGATGCAAAATGCTATAAGTTAAGAAAACTGCATAAGAATTATCTGTTGCATGCCAAGTTTGCATGCCATTTGTGTAACTGCACAACAGGATGTCAGGCAATATTTTTATAACTGCTTTACATGACTAATGCACACTAAAGAGATTCAATATGAATTAATGGATTACTGTGGGGGCTTTCTTCACATGCTGTTTCTGCACATTGTCTCACTAAGTAGATGGGGTGGCATGGTAGAAATAGGCTACTGCATATAATAAACTGTGGTTGTAGATCGCATGTAAACAGATGCTATGGTAAACAGTTTGTCGTGCTTTCTCTTTACAGGGTTAGTGTGTCACTATGCCTTTACACTGTAAATTTTCTGGAGAAAATTCTGATGACTGGAAAATATGGAAAAATAATATTATAGCCTGGTTCTTCTTCATGGCCTCTGTGAATGCACACTAATGGGTTTAGTCTGTGCATGTGAAGAGGCCTCGGAATATTCTGGAGCTAAAAAAACCTTTAGGACCGCCCCCCTGAGCCCACGTGGTCCACCCATCCTGGCGGTTACCTCAGTTCCATTTCTTCCGCTGCTGCAGTAGGTCTCTTTTTCTGGAGCTCCTCACGTGGGAACTGGAATCTCTCAAACACCGGTTCATCAAGCATCTGTATTGTTTCCCTTTTTCCTTGTTTATTAAAAAAGTGGTTAGTTTAGGACCATTTGTAGAGTTAGCTTCCCCCTTCCCCCCCCCCTTCCTGCCTTTTATGGCCCTGAAAGTTTCTTTCAAGAGCTCCGTCTCCTGTCACCAAAAGATCCTCTCGACGGATGGTCATCAGCTCTGTCTTTTTTGTCTGGGCAAAACTCATCTCCCTCAATCCTACCCTCATTGTAGGAGTTTCACTAAGCAAGCGCTAAAACTTAGAGCACTCCATTCACGGCAGACATCGGGACCGCAGTTCGGGTGCTCATGGTATCGAGGTTACTGGTACCGTGCCACCACTTAAACGTCACAAAGCCTCTCTGACTGTCCCTGACAAATTCAAGAAGACTGCCAAGCTCCATCGCCGCCGTTCCCCCTTGGAGGAATCAGATTCGTCCATACATTTGGATGCCTCCGGTACCGGGCACGGTACCGGACGCAAAAAGAAGAGGTTGTCAACTGCCTTTCACTCCACCAAACCAGCACGTCATTCCAAGGATGACTCTTCTTCTGCTACTTCTCCGTCAGACTCTGCCCTGTGTGAGTCAGATTCGTCAGACCCCCCATTTCATGAGTCCCCACCAAACACCAATACGCCGGACTCCGAGATCGATGACAATAACCCCACTTCACCAGCAGCGGACTTCACCTCCTATTTGAACATGATGCAGTGCATCACTACGGCACTGGATCCTTCAGTACATCAGCTGCCTCAGATTGTGACGGACAAGGTTTATGAGGATATTGATGAGGACCAAAACCCTCCTCTGCGTATGGCCTTCATTCCATCATTACTTCGCCTCATCAAGGAGTCCTGGGACAAACCTTGCTCGGTCCTACAGATGTCATGTCGGGTCGAAAACTTATACAAGACCCACAGTACCAAGTTGAAATTCCTTACCAAACATCCTCCTCCTAATTCTGTGGTGGTTGACATTACTCAAACTAAATCTAAATCGAGTTCTAACGCCACCCCTAACAATAAGGAGGGCAGGAGAATGGACATCCTTGGTCGGAGGGCTTACTCTCTCACATCCTTCATGCTCAGAGCTGTGAATTACATTGCCGCAATGGGTGCGTACCACAAGCATTTGTGGAATCGTGCTCTCCCATCCTTACAGGCAGCCCCAGCAGAACTGAAGCCCCGTGGACTATCTATACATCAGGAGGCTATGGCTATGGCATGGCAGAAGAGGATGATTGCCAGGCATATTATTGAGGTGGCATCTAGAAGCCTTATGACTGGAGTGGCAATCAGACGCCACACATGGCTTCGTTCAGCCAACATTAACGATGACTCTAAAACTAGGATCCTGGACTTACCTTTTGATTGGACAGGTCTGTTCGATCCTAAGATAGACAACATACTTGAGAGTCTGCAAAAGGCAAAAAAGACAGCTCATTCTTATTCGTCACAGCCGTATTACAAACAATGACACCCATGGAAACGACAACCATCCTATCAACTGTATGAACCCTACCAAGGGAAACAGAAGTTTTATCACTCTCAACCTTCTTACTCAGCTCTACAGCAAGATTAACACCATCACACATGTCAAACGTTTAGAAAGACTGGCCAAAAATCCAAGCAGGGTCTTTTACTGCTACCTTCCTCCCACCTCTGGCCTATCCACCCATTATTCTACTCATTTGGTGCCCTTTCTTCGAAACTGGCTCGACATTACATCCGACAATTGGGTACTCACCATAATCACTCATGGCTACGCTATAGAGTTTCTGGAACTCCCTCCATCTCGAGTCATCCTCACCCCTCCTTCCCTCACACTAAAGAAATAAATAAAAGTGCTTCTACAAAAATCAGTCATATCTCATGCTTTCCCGAATCCAGCAGATCCAGGTTTCTTCTCAAGATACTTTTTGGTTCCAAACAAGGACAATTTTTTCCACCCTATTTTGGATGTCTGCAGTGGTGGGATTCAGCCGGTTTGCACCAGTTCTACAGAACCGGTACCTAATATACTATCGATTCTGCAGAACTGCTTGCTGGCCTGCTGAATCCCACCACTGCCGGGCTTGTCTGGGGAGGAGGAAGAAGGAAGAGATCTGGAGAGGGAGAGTAAATCAGCCCACTTGCCTGTGCTGCTGCTGAAGAGGAGGAAAATACATAGGCGACCCTTAAGACCTGGAAAAGTTGCTATGGTTTGGGCAGTAGGTAAAAAGCTGCTTGACATTCCGTTCCTTCCAGCGTGAGAAGTGGGGCTCTCTTTTCCTGCCTGTCGGTTTTCCTCCCTTGCCTTTTTGCTTGGGGAGGGGGGGAGTTGGTGATTGAGGCTGGGCTGGGGATACCAAACCTTTTTTTTCAAAGCGACACAGCCTGTCAAAGCTCAAAAGTTGCTCCTCTGCATACCTGGGAAAGGCTTCGTTGATTGCTCTCCCACCCCCACCTCGCCCCATCCTTTTAAATTTTGATTTACTGGGCTGGGCTGCTGGGGGATGGAAAAGCTTGAGCTGTGCTTGCTAGCTTCATGCAGGGTGTGGGGGTGATTTCCAGGAGGGGGGAAAAAACCCTTCGGAACCAAGGAGGTAACCGATCACCCATTCTGGCCGTGCATTTGTTTATAAAAAAGAAGGGGGTGAGAATTCCCGTTTGTTGCAACCACATTCCCTTTTATGGAGGAAAAGTCCTGAGCTCCGTGCCAGTATTAGGTTTTCCTTTCACCCCAGGACCCAATTCAAAAGCATGGATGTTCACAGAGGTCTAAAATGCAAGTGGGTTATTTACACCCTGGAAAGAACTTTAACATATGCTGCAAGAATTTACCTCCCCCCAAATGCCTTTTTATTATTAAATGGCTTTGCCAGAAGGTGGAGGGAATTGCTTTGATTGTAACAGGAAATGTTGGATCCAGTCTTCTTGATTCTTCATCTTATAGGGCAAATAAGGAGAGCCAGGAGATGGAGAGAGGGTAGTTTGTTCTCAGAACTTGGCAGGGTTTATTTTCTTCTCCTTCCAAGCAATGCTGTTGTCATATGTTAGCAAGAAAGTACAGTAGTGGGCTGAGGGGGGGATTTTAAATTGTGCATTGAAAGTGTTGCTGAAAGAAGCAGTTTTTAACATGCCCACCCTTCTCCCTCCTGTTGCTCTGGAGGAGGTTCCCTTAAGCCAGGGGTCAGGGAACTTTTTTACCTTTTACTGCCAAAAAAAATTATATACATCAACATTACCCCCTTGATTTGAAGGGAAGGAAATCATACATTATTTGAATTCAAAATATTATTGAATCTACACAGACTGTGTACCAAACTAGCAGGATATAAAATCAGTATCAATGGCTGCCAGTCTATATACCGAACTAGCAGGATGCACCAAATTTGATAAAGATGTGCGCTGTTTTTGCTGGAACACATTGAACTCCAGCTTTGGGGTGGTATAGGGAGTAGTAAGGTGTCCAACATGCCTAGCAAGTTGCATTAAATTTTTGCTAGCTTGCAGAGGATTTAATCATCATAAATGGCTGCCAGAGTGGTGCTAGCAGTAACGTGCTTCCTAGAGACAGCCAACGCAGAGTTGGGGGGGGGGGAGAAAGCCAGAGAGTTCCAGAAAAATATCTACTTCTGCTTCATTGACTACGCAAAAGCCTTTGACTGTGTGGACCACAGCAAACTATGGCAAGTTCTAAAATAAATGGGAGTGCCTGACCACCTTATCCATCTCCTGACAAATCTATATGTGGGACAGGAAGCCACAGTGAGAACTGGATATGGAACAACTGATTGGTTCAAAATTGGGAAAGGAGTACGACAAGGCTGTATATTGTTTCCCTGCTTATTTAACTTAGATGCAGAATATATCATGTGAAAGGCTGGACTGGATGAATCCCAAAACGGAATTAAGATTGCCAGAAGAAATATCAACAATCTCAGATATGCAGATGATATAACTCTGATGGCAGAAGGTGAGGAGGAATTGAAGAACCTCTTAATGAGGGTGAAAAGGGAGAGTGCAAAAAATGGTCTGAAGTTCAACATCAAAAAAAGTAAGACCATGGCCACCGGTCCCAACACGTCCTGGCAAATAGAAGGGGAAGATATGGAGGCAGTGACAGATTTTCCTTTCTTGGGCTCTATGATCACTGCAGATGGTGATAGCAGCCACAAAATGAAAAGACATCTGCTTCTTGGGAGGAAAGTGATGACAAACCTAGACAACATCTTAAAAAGCAGAGACATCACGTTGCCAACAAAAGTCCGAATAGTCAAAGCTATGGTTTTTCCTGTCGTGATGTATGGAAGTGAGAGCTGGACCATAAAGAAGGCTGACCGCTGAAGAATTGATGCTTTTGAATTGTGGTTCTGGAGGAGACTCTTGAGAGTCCCCTGGGCTGCAAAGAGAACAAACCTATCCATTTTGAAAGAAATCAACCCTGAGTGCTCACTGGAAGGAGAGATCCTGAAGCTGAGGCTCCAATACTTTGGCCATCTCATGAGAAGAGAAGACTCCCTGGAAAAGCCCCTGATGTTGGGAAAGTGTGAAGTCAAGAGGAGAAGGGGATGACAGAGGATGAGATGGTAGGACAGTGTCATTGAAGCTACCAACATGAATTTGACCCAACTCCGGGAGGCAGTGGAAGAAGGAGGGCCTGACGTGCTCTGGTCCATGGAGTCACGAAGAGTAGGACAAGACTTAACGACTAAACAACAAAAATTGTTACTATGAAACCCTCTTTCAAATAGGATTTGTGACTATTTTTTCCAGTGTAAATTGCAGCTCTTCCTGGGCAGTGAAGGGGCCTTACAATGTGAGGCAGCAGCTTGGCCTCGTTCCGGCTTCCAAACAGCCTCAGGGGCTCGGACAGGAAGAAGCGGCCAGCCGAGGGGGGCAGAAAGGTTGTGTCACGCAGTGGCTGCGGTTATGATGCGCCTGCCTCAGATGAGCTCAGCACTGGGCGAAGGGACAGGCACTCAGCTGCTAGATGGATGATGAGGATGATGACGACAATGACTCAGAAGCATCCTTGTGGTTGCATTGCACTGGGCCGCACTGGGCTGCATTACGAGCCGACCTGGACCGCATGCGGCCCGGGGGCCGCGGGTTGAACTAGCCTGCAATAAAGGAAATAAAGCAAGTAAATAATTTCAAAATATTCATTGATAAGGTATATACAGTGGTGCCTCGCATAACGAGTGCCCCGTTTAACGAAGAATCCGCATAGCAATGCGGATTTTGCGATTGGTAATGCGATCGCATACCGATGTTCCCTATGGGGAAACATCGCTTTGCTATGTTTCCCCATAGGCCCTTTTCCCCCCAGCTGACCGGTGGGGCTTCCGAAGGACCAGGGGGAGGGCTCCCCCCACGGTCCTTCTCAAGCTCCCACCTGTCAGCTGGCCGAAAAAGCTGGTGGGCGGCCAGCTCGCCCCTCTTGGGGCGGCAGAGGCGGCGGGGGAAGGGAAAGGGCCGGGCGCCTGACTGCCCTTCTCCCGCTCCACCTCCTCTTCTTCCTCCGAGGATGAGGCGGCGGGAGCTCAGCCCAGGGTCGGCAGCAAGCGGTGCTTTAGCAGGCTCGCTCCTCCCAGGGCGGGGGAGGTGGCACAGGAAGGGAAAGGGCCGGGCGCCTGGCTCGCCGTCTCTGCCTCCATCTCCTCCCCTTCCTCTAAAGGCCAGCCACCAGCCGGCTTGTTCTTCCCGGGGCTGTGGAGGAAGGAGGAGAGATGGAACGAGCCCCAGCGCTGCCAGGCGCCTGCACGCCCTCCCCGCCTCCATCTCCTCCCCTTCCTCCAAAGGCCGGCCACCAGCCGG